GCTTCTTAGGCAGTGCTATGAAAATAGATCTACTTAGGTCTTCCTGTATCTCATCACTGTTGTAGATTTCATTTATTATGTTTGTAATCTTGTCTGTACCGAAATAACTTAAGACTGACAGCATCTTTCTTACAATTCCGTCTGGTCGGACTGCTTAGTTTCTGTTCAGTTTGACCAATTAAAATTCTGCTTCAGATTTTAATATTTGCGGTCCTTCGATACTTCGCTGTATTGCCGGTTGTTCTCTTTCATCATGGAAGAGTTCTCCGATATATTCGTTCGATCTCTGAAGTATTTTTCTTTTCTTTCCGTCCTTGGATTTAAGGCATCCTGTTGATGAACATGTCTTTTGTCTTGTTAGTTCTCTTATTTTTTTTATGCACATCTACTTTATCTGTGATACTCATTCTTTCTATTTCTGTACGTTTTTCGTTGACCCATTCCTTTTTAGCCTGCTTGAATTTGTTCCTAATTTCTTTGATTAGTTTCTTATATTCCGTTTCGTGCCTTGGCATTGTTTTTTTGCCTCCTTTCTATAATGTCGCGAATTTCATGTTTTCCATTCTTTTTTTTTATCTATTTTCCTTTGGGATGATCTCCTTCGTCTGATATGACTAAAGCTTTTCTGAATATCTCCATTTTCTGTCTGTCTCTCGTATCTGCTTGTCACACTGTCCATATATTTCTCCTTTAGATCCGAGTCGTTCAAGAGTCTGTCGTATTGCAGTTTGGATGCTGCCTTGGCTCTCTTCAATTTCCGTCGTTTCATTCCCATTTTACATATCACTGGAAGCTGGTCCCTTCCACAGTCGGCACTTGGGTTATGTCTTGCAGTGTAAAACTGCATTCCTGAATCTCTTATTGATACTTATGCCGTCAATTTTTTTTTTTATTTGTTTTCTCCTCTTGGGATTCTTCATGTCCATATACGTCTTGAGTGTTCTTGAAACCAGGTGTTGGCCACTACCTAGTCATTATCTACACTACTGGACCCTTTTTTCTCGCGTTCATTACGGGATCCTAGTCCAAATTTGCCAACTATTTCAGTATCTCTTTCCGTTTCCGGATTTAAGTTTCCCATGACGAATGTATTTTCTTGAGGTTTACATTGCGATTTGGCGTTATCTTTCGAAGAGTAAATCAGGTCATCCCATAAGTTCTGTCCAAATTTTGAATAAAGAAAACAAGTGACCAAATGTCATTTAATTACAGATTCAATCAACAGTGTATTTTCCCTGATTGTCTATGACTTCCTTCCATCTATTAATAAGCTTACTATCAGGTCATCCCATAAGTTCTGTCCGAATTTTGAATAAAGAAATCAAGTGACCAAATATTACATTTAATTACAGATTCAATCAACAATGTATTTTCCCTGATTATCTATGACTTCCTTTCATCTATTAACAAGCTTACTATCAGGTCATCCCTTAAGTTCTGTCCGAATTTTGAATAAAGAAAACAAGTGACCAAATGTTATATTTAACTACAGATTCAATCAACAGTGTATTTTCCCTGATTATCTATGACTTCCTTCCATCTATTAACAAGCTTACTAATTCCATTACTGTAAAATTCTTTTGGCTTTAATTCGAAGAACTCACAAATATCAGTTTTAACCTCTTCCTGTGTTACAAAAGCTGTTTCTTCCAAATGATTCTGTAAGCTACAAAACAAATGGTAGTCTGAAGGAGCAAGATTGGGAGAATAAGGTGGATGAGGAATTTTCTCCCAACCAAATTCTTCGATCTTTTGTGACGTGATTCTTGCTGTGTGGGGTCGCGCTTGTCCTGATGAAACATCACCTCTTTTCGATTCACTAGAGCAGGTCTTTTTTTTCCTCAAAGCTTGGTTCAAACGCTCTAATTGCTGAATTTTGCAAACCATCTTCTGCAAGTTCTTTCATTCACACATTCCTCTCCATAAACCGAGTGAATGTTTCTAGCCGCTTCGGCTGCTGAGTTTCCTTTCTTAAATCATTATGTGCCTCAAATGATTCTTGGGTACTTCCATGTTAGCAGGGTTTTAATCAAACAAAATTTAATTTTATTGTTCTCTGAAATAAAATTTAATCAGTTTAAATGCCTCTAAACATAAAAATAATGTTCAGCTCCATTAGACATTACTAAAATACTCTTTAAATTTCGTTCATTTTAACAAAAAGTTAAAATTAGGACAGAACTTATGGGATGACCTGATATTTTAAATTCCAAGGCTCGGTATAAAGTTAATAGGCTAACCAAGATACTTTTAAGGAATATGCTAAAATGATGATTTTCAACATAGTCACCCTCGCTGTCCACACACTTCTTCTATCGGCGTTGGAGTGCTTACATCACATTGCTGCAGATATGACGTTTATCATCACTGCGATGCTGGTTCGCAGCCAAATATCTTTTCATGTTGGGGATCAGATGATAGTCAGATGGGGCCAAATAAGGATAATAGGTGGGAGTGATTAACCTGTTAAAAACCACAGTCATCCACAGGAGCCATTGAAACCAAGAACGTGTGTGCTGGAGTATTATCCTGATTAAACAAGACGCCTCTCGTCAGTTTTCCTAGGCAATTGATTTGATAACTTTTAATAACTGCTTCATAAAGTTGACATCCATTGACATTGTCGTCCCTTTGAAGATAGTCAATAATCACAATGCCTTTTGCGTCCCAAGAAATTGAGGCCATCACCTTCTCTGCAGATGAATCGATCCTGGACTTCTTTGGAGCCGGTGAGGAATGGTTTTTCCACTGCATGGATTGTCTCTTCATCTCTGGCTCAAAGTGTTGAACACAACACATCCTTGTTTAGGAAACATTCAAAGAAACCAGATGGATATGCCTCAATTTGTGTCTGATTTCCCCGTGATGTAGTCAGCCTTAGACGCTTTTGATCAGATGTCAGAAGACGTGGCGTCCACCGATGAGAAACCTTCGTCATGCCATGTTCATTGTGCAGAATATTCTCAACTCTCTCACTGGATGTGCTAACAGCATTGGCTATTTGGTTAAAACGATCAATGTTTTTTCTTGGTAGTGGCAGTTGCAGGACGTCCAGACATTCGGTCATCTTTAAGACTTTCCTTTCCTCTCCTAAATTCTGCTGCCCACTTTTGCAGTGTTGATAAATCTGGAGCATCATCCACTATTGTAGCGACGATGTCAGCTTGGGGCCGAACCATTTTTTCTGCATGAACTTGATAACACCAGGATGTCAAATTTTGTCCATTTCCAAGACAAGTACCTATTAATTACTTTTGAAGTATTATTTGAGCTGTCAGATATCTGTTTACATGGAAATAAACAATGCAGTTATTAATAAGAAGATATGAAATGAATGCATGCACATTTTCACAGCTCTCGTATCACTGCTTCATAGGCTGCCTATAAACATTTCAGACCGTCCTCGTAGTTTTAGTATTAACCACAGTTGAAGTCTGTAGGTGTTGAACAAACACAAAGCTAGATACCAATAAGCAATTGGTCCTGGTTCGTTTAGAATATACAATGATGCTTATTTCATTTCATTTGCATGAACGACCAAACCTCATTTCGACTTAACCAGAATTTATTGGACTCATGAAGAACGATGTGTATCCATGTTTTATATATTATGCAAAAACGTTTGACAATGTATGCCACAATGAACTGAAAAAAAGGCTAAATAATGGTGACATATTTGAGAAAAATATTACAATAATTAAGAACCTATAATTGCACTGTCTTGCGGTGAGAAAGTAAATTCAGTAAATATACTAAAATAGAAAGGTGTGTAAGACAACGATGTGACGTCTTACCGGACTTATTCAATCTATACGGTGAGTTGATTAATGAGAAAATTACAATTTCTGCCAGGATTCATTATTGGTGACCACTATCTTAACAACTTAAGATATGCAGATGATTCAAAGTTGATAGCAGGCATGTGAAGGAAATTACAAGAACTAAAGAAGGAAATGAATGAAAGCAAGAAGAAAGGACTAAGCATCAATTGCAAGAAGACTGAATGTATGGTCGTTAGCGAAATGTATAGCCCAACATGCAAATTAAAAATTGTATATACGAAATTCAAACAAAGACAAAAATTAAAATAGCGGATTTTTTTTTTACAGAGGACATTAAGGGTTTTAATTTACAAAGGCGCATTTGGACAGAGAAGGTGCCGTCCAAAAGCTAAGTAAAGTATTAAGAAACAGGAAAATTTTGAAAAAAAGAAGAGTACTGCTACGTAATATCAGTTCTACTACAAAGAAGTAAATTCTGGACATTCTCCTCACAAGAAGAAACAGAACTGTAGTTCTACAGAAGCATACTGAGAATACCATGGGTCGATCATTTTAAAGACAAGAAGAGGCAATTGACATTTCTAGGGGACATAATAGTGAAAGGGGGCTTGAAAAATTTGATACTCAAAGGATAGATTAAAGACAAGAAAGACAGGGAAGAAAACGAATCTACTTTGCGAGCTTGAATAAATGAATGGTAGAACAAGGTTTAGAGGAGATAACAAAAAAGCAAAATTTATTAACAGCTACAAAGGACAGGAAATTGTGGAGAACCATGACCGCCAACGGACACACGGCACATAGAAGAGGAAGAAGCGGATTGGCTGACGGATAATGATATTTAAACGAACGCGAGTGCCTCTCGTTTTGCTTTAGATCGATGCAATTTATTCGAAATTGTGAGCTTTATGCTGCCATGCTGAACGCCTTTTTAAGCTAGGCCCTTTGAATTTGTTCAAAACAAAACTGCATGTGGCTACCATTTACATACGCTTTAATATCCTGATTGAAATTTATGCGAGTATATTCTGCAGGCATTGGTGTTGTGAAGAGGTTTCATATTTGAAGCATGAACATGAGTCTAAACTCGCCTTATAGTACGGATATTGAAATGATTCAATTACTTTTGAAAGCTAGGAAAAAAGAAAACGAAAAATAAAATGAGGAAGTAAAAGAAAGAAAAAGAAATTTAAACTTTTATTAGGTATATTGAAATGCTTAAATCACTTTTGAAAGAAAGAAAGAAAGAAAGAAAGAAAGAAAGAAAGAAAGAAAGTAAAACAATGACAAAAAAGAAGGCTGAAAGTGGAAATTAGAAAAAGGAAGAAAATGAAATTAAAGAAAGAAGAAAAATAAGTACGGTAAGAAAGAGGGAATAAAAAGAAAGAAAAGACAAGGGAGAAAAAGCTATTGAAACAAAGAAAGTAAAAGAAAGACGAAAGAACAAAAAAGGTAAAAAAAAAAAGAAAGCTTAATGAAAGAAAGAAAAAGAAAGAAAGAAACTAAAAAAAGCGAAGAAAAAAACAACGAAAAATAAAAATAAAGGAAATGAGGAAGTAAGAGAAAGAAAAAGAAATTTAAACTTTTATTAGGTATATTGAAATGCTTAAATTACTTTCTTTTTTTCTTTTTTTTTAAGCATTTCACCCCAAGCAAGGCGGGTAGCCACTAGGACGCAAGGGGTTACAGAAAGTTTAGAGCAAGATCAGATAGGAGTGATAGAAGAGGGTATGAGGAGAAGAGTAGTGGATAGATCAAGGCAACTGGAGATGTCGATTGACATTACACTTGAATAGTTGGAGATTATAACTCTCAGGGAAACTGGAATAGAGAAGGGATTTTCACAAGCGAGAGGTGCGAGACATGAAGCTATTACAGTAGAAGAGACGGCTACATTTAGGAGTTCCGACAGTGAAGGGGTGAGAGCGGGATACCAGCCTCGTAAGGCGCTGGGACTCATGAAGTCTGGGTACCAGCAAATGCAGCTCCTCGGAGCAATTACCATGAAAGTATTTGTAGAACAGACAGAGAGAGGCAACGGCGCGTCTGTGAGAAAGTGTCTGTAGACGAGATGCCAGATCAGGGCCAATTATATTGCATATCCGCCTCTGGAGCCTATCAAGAAACCCGAGGCAAACAGAAGGGGCACCAGACCATATATGGCAGCAATACTCCATGCAAGGACGAATTGTTGATTTGTAAATCTGGAGGATCGATTCTGGGGAGAAAAATTTCCTGGTGCGGCACAGGGAGCCAACTTTCCTTGCGGTGGATGAAGCAATTGACTCAATGTATTTGTTCCATCTCAGGTCAGCCGTCAACATGAGGCCGAGCAGCCGCAGAGAGTTGCTCTCGAGAAGTTGAGCGTCAGACATTCTAATGGAGGGCAACGAAGGATCTCTGTAGTCATTAATAGAGAGCAGTTTTATTTTTGAAGCATTAAAGTTGACCAGCCAATTCCTGCCCCAGTTCACAACCGATTGGACGTCCTTTTCGAGACGCACGGCCAGGTTAGTTTTGTCAGTGACACTAGATTTGTTTTTGAGGCAGGAATAAATTGTGGTGTCATCCGCGTAGAGGCCAACTTGGAAATTTATAGCGTTCAGGAAGGTCATTTATGTAGATAAGGAATATAGTGGGGCCTAGGATGGGGCCTTGAGGAACACCTGCGTTCGTGGGATAGGAACTAGAGGAGAATCCGTTGAGAACGACCTTCCCGGTTTGACAGGAATGATTGTATTAGGTCAAACAATCGACCTGTAATGCCATAACCCTGGAGCTTGCGAAGAAGGCCGGCATGCCAAACCCTATCAAATGCTTTGGAGATGTCTAGTGCCACGGCAAGAGCTTCCCCGTTATTTTGAAGAGCTCGGTAGACAGTTTCAGTGATGGCCGTAAGCATCAGCTATAGATCGGGCAAAGCGGAAGCCATATTGCTTGTCTGAGATCAGATCATGGAATGTGATGTGGTTAACGACCTCGGTATTGATTAGGGCTTCGAAGACTTTCCCGAAGAGGGGTAGGAGACTGATAGGACGGTAGTTAGAAGGGTCAGAGGGGTCGCCAGAGTTCTTAAGGATAGGAACAATCGAAGAGGACTTCCAGCAGTCCGGAAAACAAGATTCCTTGAGGCAGTAGTTGTATAGTTTAGAAAGGGCGGGCGCTAGTTCAGGCGCGCATTTCTTCAAGACAATGGCTGGTATCCCATCTCCACCACTAGCCTTGTTGGTGTCTAAATTGAAGATAACGCCCAAACCAGAGACGGGGTTATATGTAGCCCACTCAATAGAGCCTCAGTTCTAAGAGGGAAGTCGGGTATGGGTACACCGGAAGAGTCGAGCGTCGAGTTAAATGAAAATTTCCAAGCAAAGCATTCAGCCTTGTCGGCAGAGGAGGTCAGGACTTCGAACTGGTTGAATAAAGGAGGTATAGAGGGTTTGCAATTGTTCAATACACTCTTGCAGAGACGCCAATAATCTTTGGAGCCAAATTTGTGAGATGCAATACGTTCCTTCATTCGAGCCGCAAATAGTGTCTTAGCATCGTTGAGGACACGCTTACATTCGTTACGGGCGGAGGCAAAGAGACGTCTATTGCAGTCAGACATGTCGCTACGGAATAGGTGAAAGTAGTGGTTCCTATGGGCGATGGCGGCTGAGCAAGCAGTGGAGAACCAGGGGGGGGAGGCGCGACTTGACCCTATATTTCCTCGATGGGATGAAAGCATCGATTCCAGCTTTAACCCAGGATGAGACCTCAGAAGCACATTCTTGGACGGGGACAAGAAGAGAGAAAAAGCTATTGAAACAAAGAAAGTAAAAGAAAGACGAAAGAACAAAAAAGGTAAAAAAAATAAGAAAGCTTAACGAAAGAAAGTAAAAAGAAAAGGAAAGAAAAAGCATATAAAAAGGAAGCACAAAAGATAGAAAGACAACTTCATAAAAAGAAAAAAAAATCAAAGAAAGAAAGAAAAAAGAAAGAAAGAAAGTAAGAAAAAGCTAAGAAAAAACAACGAAAAAGAAAAATAAATAAAAAAGAAAATTAGGAAGAAAAAGAAAGAAAATGGAATCTAAACTTTTCTTTTATTAGGTATTTTGAAATGATTAGATTACTTTTGAAAGAAAGAAAGAAAGAAGATAAGTAAAACAGATAAAACGAAAAAGAAAGTGAAAAGAAGAAAATGAAAGTAAGAAAAGATCGAAGAAAAGAAAAGTATGACGAGAAAGATGGAATAAAAATGAAAGAAAAGATAATAAAGAAAGAGAAAAAAGTAGGAGAAACAAAGAAAGTAAAAGAAAGAACAAAAAGTAGAAAAAGAAAGAAAGACAGATGACGAAAGAATGTAAAAAAGTAAAGTAAGAAAAAGAAAAAGAAAAAAAAATGGATATTAAAAGGAAGAACAAAAGAAAGACAACTTAATAAAAAAGGAAACATTAAAGAAAGAGAAATAGAGGAAGAAAAAAATAAAAAATCAAAGAAAGAAAGAATTATATTCTAGTACTGGCTTGCGGATGAATTCACGTATTTTGCAACCGATGTGTAAATTTGCAACCGATGTGTAAGTGCATATAACAGTTGTGTGAAGGGAAAAATAGTCTGAAGCTTCGTCAGCAAAATCAAACCAAAGTAACTTCATTATTAATTTGTCGGATTGCTGGAGACTAACATGGTTTCACCGCTCGACATCGGTGTGGATAAAGAGGGCGTTGAGCAATCACAACCGGGAGAAAAATAAAACCAGTCCAGGGATTTGTGAACATTCAACAGCGAACGAACTCATGGTTGTCCCTCGTTAAACTCACCAAAGCTTAGGCAATGAGAAACCAAAAATACCCTTGGCAAATATCAAATATCGAGGTGAAATATATCATCTCTCTTGGAAGTGATTCCTTACTCGGCAATAGTAAGTGTAGTCGTCTCCTTATATGGAAACATTCAACATTGTTACTGTTGGATGGACTTTATAAAACCTTGCTTTTATCGCTCTTTCCAGTATTGATGGAGGTTTCCTTCCTAACATTCGAGGTTATGAGGAACGTCAATATTTTCATTATGTCATTATTTTCTCTTCGTTACATGTGATATCCATTCGAGACACTTCGATGTCGTGTAATGTTTAACAAGCTTGTTTCGAAATCACTAATTAGCCGTAATTGATTTAGCAATCAATTACGACTAATTAGGGATTTCTATCTTCACAAGGTGCCCCATACTTTCGGCCTTGTGCCACATCTAAATCACACTTAGAAAATCAGCATGTAATATTCTGTTGTTTCTGCTGCTGAAAATCGTCAAGTGAAGTGGTTTCTATTATTTGGTACAGTTCTTTGGGATCCTGTAGCGCCAGTTCATGGGATTCGCTGACCTATATAGATGGACCATCCGGTCGAAGCAGTTTTAATCTTTGATAGAACAACATGAGACATGTGTATCTGACAGTGATCCATGGATTTTCCGCAACAAGGATTCCAATCGAGACAGGAATGTTAAGACACTAACAATACGAAAGGTCGCGTCGTGGTCGGCACTAAATGGTCCCACGTTGAAAAACCAAAGCCGGTTCGTTCACCCAGCAAACAAGGATTAAGTCCTTCGAGGATTCGCTTACATTTATTACGAGCTGTAGCAAGAGGGCACCTATTACAACGAGAGCTGTCACGCTGGTATAGTCGGAAATAGTGGTTGCGCTGTGCTATGGCGGCCGAGCATGCTGGTGTGATTCATGGGGTGGATTGCAGTTTCACATCCATGTCTATAGTGATTTTCTAAGCGTAGCTTACATGTGACACAAGGCCGAAAGTACAGGGCACCCAGTGAGGATCAAACTCAATTATTCTTTATTCGCCGTATCCCTTCAGGACGTAGTCGATCATGGCCCTCCTCATATTCTGTGTCAGTTTTAGCTCTTTATAAATTTTGTCTTTTAGCTATTTCTCCCAAACCCTGTTCATTTACTCAAACCATCAAATATGTTACGCGATGTTTTCCGCTGTCCTCAATCTGACCTGGGGTATCACATTTTCCACACCCCGTCCCTCATCGCGTGGTCCAGAAATTTCAACTGTCTCTTCCTGAAGTTAAGTATAATTTTCCTATGTTTTTTTTTTTTTATTTTCTTTAAAACCTCGACGTTGCTCACATGTTTGGTCCATGGTATCCTCAGCATCCTTCTGTAGAAATTTCAACTGTCTTTTCCTGAACAATTACAACTTAGTAGTGAGTTCGATCCTCACAAGGTGCCCCCTACTTTCGACCTTGTGCCACATCTAAGCAATGCTTGGAAAATCACTATAGTTTGGTCAATGGTGTAGTCAGATCCAGCAGCACATACGCTAATTTTATATCGCGTGTACGATGCAACCTCCTTAAAATTAGCTTCAAAATTAGGTCTTCAAAAGTCGTATGATACACGAGTATATACGGTAAATTATAAATTAATTAAATATCATTTTAAGTTGGTATCTAATGAATTTAATTAATAATTTTCAGTAAAAGAGGTTTTTATTCTCTTTGAAACTGTTGAATAGAATATGTATTAATAATACGACAGCTATAATTTAAATTAGTCGAATTTGTTTTACCAAATCTTTATTTGTATAATAGATTTATAAATTTTTTAAAGTATTTATTCACACGCACTACAATATCTTTAATGTAATTAAGAAATTATATACATATTTTATGGATGCAAATTGTTCCTCTATTGTTGAAGGTCAGCTTGTAGGAAGATCATCTTGAATGACATTTCCGAGTAAATGATGTCATTTCGGATAAGAAGGAGTTCTGAATTACATTTAAAGGTTGATGCTAGAGATTTTACCACCTGCTCCAGGCTTGGACTTTTAACCTCGCTCTCAGTGTCAAATTAAATTGGCGCTTTTAAGAGACCTTAATCAATACAGACCGCTCGTGAATTTCGTTGTCATATTGATTTTAAACTGCCTCAGTAATTTTATTTCCCAAGAGTCCAAATTCGTTGACGTTCTAACAATATTGATTTGATTGATGAATCGTAGATTCTGTCGGGGCACATGGGCTTGTGTGCGTACATCTAAGCACACAGAAATTATTTGTACATGTTTATATGTTTGTGGTGGCATTTTACATGTAGACATATTGAAAAAATTCAAGAGTAACATGCTAATTTCCTTTACGTGTGTATATTAGGAAGTCATGAAGCTTTCACTTAAAACTTAATGTCTGTATTATATTTGTAGAGAAGATTTAAGTATATATGCCACTTTTAAATGCTTACAAATAGTGCCATCTTTACCTCGCTTTTATGTAGTTACCCATAAACGATGTTTTTTTTTTGTAGCGACATTTTTTTTCAAAGTGCGGAGTTTTTTTTTAAGTTGTCTTTCTACTTTGCTTCCTTCCTTTTTATATTCTTCCTTCTTTCTTTTTCTTTCATTTCCCTTTTTATTTCTTTTGTTATCTTTCTTTATTTTTCTTCTTATTTTATCGTTACGTCTTTCTTTTTCGACTTTACTTGCTTTATTTACTTGTTATCTTTTACTGTCTCTCTTTCTTTCTTTTTTTACTTTTTTGTCCTTTGTTCTTTTACTTTCTTTTCCCTTTTTAATTTCTTTCTTTCTTTTTTTTTCTTTTTCTTCCCTTTTTCTACATTTTTCTTTCATTTCCTTTCTTTTTCCTTTTACTTTCTATCGTTCTCTTTCTTTTTCTCCTTTTATTTCATTTTTTTTCATTTAATTTATTTCCCGTTTTACGTTCTTTTTCTTCCTTTTCCTTTTACTTTCTTTCCTTATTTCTTTCCTTATTTCTTTTTTGTCTTTTTTTTTCCTTCATTTACTTTCTCTTTTACTTTCGTTTCTATTCTAGCTTTTTGTCCTCCCGTCTTATTCCTTATTCTCCTTTTACTGTCTCTCTCTTTTTCTTTTCTTTTTTTATCTTTCCTTCTTTTTGTTTTTACTTTTTCCCTTTTACTTTCATTTTACTTTCGTTCTTTCTTTCTTTCTTTCTTTCTTTTTTCTTTTTGTTCTTTTTTCTCCTTTTTTCTTACATTTCCTTTCTTTTCCCTTTTACTTTCTTTCGTTATCATACTTTTTCTCCTTTTTTGTTCTTTTATTCTTTCATTTAATTTCTTTTCCGTTTTATTTTCTTTTTCTTCCTATTCCTTTTACTTTCTTTCTTTTTTCTTTTTTGTCCCTTTTTCCTTTATTTATTTTCTCTTTTACTTTCGTTTCTATTTCTAGCTTTTTGTCCTCCCTTCTTTCTTAATCTTTATTCTCCTTTTACTTTTTCTTTTTCTTTCTTTTTTTTATCCTTTCTTCTTTTTGTTTTTACTTTTTTCCCTTTTACTTTCTTTCTTTGTTTCTTTTTTCTTTTTGTTCTTTTTTCTCCTTTTTTCTTTCATTTCCTTTCTTTTCCCTTTTACTTTCTTTCGTTATTATACTTTCTTTTTCTCCTTTTTTGTCATTTCTTCTTTCATTTAATTTCTTTTCCGTATTCCTTTCTTTCTTGTTCTCCCTTTTCCTTTTGCTTTCTTTCCTTCTTTTCTTCCTTTTCTGTCCTTTTTCCTTCATTTACTTTCGTTTCCCTTTTACTTTCGTTTCTTTTCTAGCTTTTAGTCCCCCCTTCTTTATTATTCTTTATTCTTCTTTTACTTTCTCTCTTTCTTTTTCTTTCTTTTTCATCCTTTCTTTTTTTCTTTTCCCTTTTATTTTCTTTCTTTCTTTTTTGCTTTTTGTTCTTTTTTCTCCTTTTTTTTAATTTCCTTTTACTTTCTTTCGTTATCATACTTTCTTTTTTTTTCTTTTTTTGTCTTTTCTTCTTTCATTTAATTCCTTTTCTGTTTTACTTTCTTTCTCTTGATGCTTTATGTTCTTTCTTCTTTCTTTCTTCTTTTTATCTTCCTTTTTACTTCCTTCCTTTCGATACCTTTCTTTCGTTTTCTCCTATCTTGTCCTTTCTTTTACTTACTTTGTTTTTCTTGCTTTTTTTCTCTCTTACTTTCTTATTTCCGCTGTTTTCTTTCTTTTCCTCCTCTCTTCATTCTTTTTTCTTACTTCTTTTTCTTTTTATTTCCTTTCTTCTTTCTTTTGCTTTCCTTTTTACTTTTTCTTCCTTTCTCATTTCTGTTACTTTCTTTTCCCTTTTATTTTCTTTCTTTCGTTATCTTTCTTTTTCTTTCTATTTTATCCTTTCTTTTACTTGATTTTTCTCTCTTACTTTCTTTTTTCTTCTCTTTTCTTTCTTTTTTCTTCTTTCTTTCTTTTATATTATTTACCCTTTACTTTCTTTCTTTCTTTTTCTTCGTTTTTTTCTTTTCATCTTTCTTTTAATTTGCTTTCATTTCGACTTCCTTTTTTCTTCCTTTTTAGTTCTTTCTTTCTTTTTCTTTCTTTCTTTACTGATTTACTTCCTTTTGTTCGTTTTGTTCCTATTTTCTTCTTTCTTTTAGTTGCTTTGTTTTTCTTTCTTTTTCTCATTTAATTTCTTTTTTCTCGTCTTTTCTTTCTTTCTTCATTTTTTTCCATTTTTCTTTCTTTCTTTCTTTTTCTTCCTTTTCGTTTTTACTTCTTTCTTTTCCTTTCTTATCCTTTTTACTTTCCTTCGCTATCTTTCTTTTTCTTCCAATTTTGTCATTTCTTTTACTTTTGCTTTTTCTTTTTCTTCATTTTTTTACTTTCTTTTCTTTTTTCTTTTCTTACTTTCATTTTCTTTTCTTCTTTTTTCTTTATCTTTCTTTACAATATATATGTTTGTGTGTGCGCGTTGTGTGAGTGTGTGTGTATAAATATAAAAGTTGAGACTGAGGTCAACAACTAATGGCAACAGACTGTTTCATTCTTGAACAGAATATTTAAGACATAGTATGAAGTTATCCTCTATTTATAACGTAAAAATGCTTAATATACCGGATAGAGCATATGTAATTATAAGCAGCGTGGACACAGATCTACACCATGTGACGACAGTCTGTTTGATGTCTAAATCAGTCTTCAGGGCATGTGGACTGTTTATCATTTGTGTTAGTTGTAGCAAGGCATGTTATATATATATATATATATGTTGAAACTTGAATAAAGCATGGAATAATAATAATACAACACAAAATGCACTTAAACAAAATGTATTGAAACAAGAAAATGTACACAATATTTACAGAGAGTTTTGGTATATTCTTGGGAAGACCGTTCCTGTAGAATGGGTTGACTTAATCGCAGTCGGGCAGAGTCTCTGGATTGGAGCTCTTCTTCCTCCTCCGTCTTCGCGGTACCAACCATATTTATATGGTCGGTACTCCACTATGTAAATTAGGTGGATCGTGCCACAACAATATATATATATATATATATATATATATATATATTATTCTTAAATTTATGTCGGATTAATAAATAAAAATTCATTATTTCTTTAGAAATTGCATTTTCGGATTCGAAACTGAGCAGGTCTGAATTTTCAGGAATCTATACGAGAA